TACTTGACCTAAAGTCTTTGCTAGTCAAACACAAAAGGTTCCCCAGAGCATGAGGAGCAGTACCAAAACCCTCTCTCCTGGGTGGGTCCCTCAGCTTTGCAGCTGCAGACTCAAGAGATATGCTTGTGTCTTCTCTATCTCTTGGACATCTCTACCTCTTGGATCTATCCTTCAACCTTCCCCTGGATTTTGTATCAAGTCACTGATGACTAGAGGTGTACTGGTGGTAGGGAGCCCCAGATTTACACCCTTGTGTGAACAGGCATCCATTTCTCTCCCCACCGACTGTGTGTCTCCAGTACAGCAGGAGAAGCCCGCAGTGGTACAGCTGTCTCGTGACACAAATAGGGGCACCGTTCTGCTCCTTGTCTAGAAACCTATAAAACCTTTGTGGGTCTGCCCCGAGGATGGGTTTGGTCCTGGCTGCATGTAGAGAGCAGTGTCTGAAGGGATGTTCCTTCAGCATTCCTTGAGATGAAGTGAATTGCACTCTGCAGCTCTGCATGGGCTGTAAAAGGAGCTGATGTTCTTCAGAGTTAGCCACCTACTCATCAGACATCAAAGTTAGAACAGATGAGTCACACCTAGAGCGGTTTGTTGCATTTTTAGCAGAAAGCCTGTAGAAAGGCTTGGACAGGACCCAGAGGCCCTGTGTCCCAGGTCCAAATATAACCTTTCTTATTTTTTTTCTTTCATTAGAAAAGCACCATGTGCTTATAAATTACTCTTTGCCAAATGACTTGTTCTTAAAGAGAATTACACTGTAATAAGCTGCATCATTAAAAAGAAATTTTTCCGTGAGCAGCAGAGCCTGGTTTCCTGCGGTTTGGTGTCTCGCGGTGGGATTATCTTGCATCTAATGAGGAGCACTCTGGCTGAAGCCTTTTCTCCTGTTCATAAAGACACTGTCTCATGTGGGTTCTCCGGTGTTGATAATACATTTGGTTTCAAACTGCTGTTGTTTAGGTTTTCTCCTATCTGACAATGTAATATTGCCCATGTGGCAAGCAGTTCCTCCCTGGAGATGCGAAAGGGTCAGACTTGTCTACCCTGTTGCCTCTTCCCACAAAACTAGTTGAAAATTAAAGCCTTTGAGACTTCTCTTACACAGGTAAATTTGACTGAAATTGGCCAACACGCTAAAAGATAATTGAGAATAATACTGAACTGAGACAACAATGTAATAAACCTAATTTTATTAGATAATCAGGCAATAAATGACAGAAAGTAAATACTGGAGCAGATTAAACATGGAAAAAATGTTCATAAATATTTATTCAATCATTTAAATGCACTCAAGGTGACCATTTTGTGCCCATTTTGCATTTCAGTTTTAGAGGTTTGATTCACAGCCATATGAAAGACCAACAAGGGCACCGGAACCCCAATAGTTACAGTTATACCTCAAAAGTAAAAGTAAAATAATAGTTTTCTGTGAGACTTTTTTTCAGATACAGAGAATTTTTAAACATTTCCCAAAGAATATTTCAGAATTTAGAATTTAGAATCAGGAATGTTGAATAATTCAGAAACTAGATTTTGAGGATGATTCTCACCTAGTCAGAGAATAAAAATAGATCATGTGGTTTGTGCTGGATTTCCAGAATTTTCAATAAACCTGAACGGAGCAAAGTCAGGCCAAAAATCCTTTACTGAAGTGATTCATGGAAATGTTTCAAAAATGTGAGATGTAAAAGGGAAATTTCAATTTTTTGCGCACACACACAAAACAAATCGCAAATGAAGGAAAGAAGAAAGATACATTGAATAAATTGCTCATCATAATTTATTTTTCCAGTTCCTGAGCCATAGAAACATGCTTGTCATAAAGTGATTTTTGGAGATACTCGTATTTTCTTACCTTGGATACAGTTTAGATGGATGAGCTACCGTTGCTCTCCATGCTTATCAAATTAGGAGAATGCATTTCTAAATTCAATTACAACCTCAGTGGAAATGGTTTCTCTGACTCTGGTAATCTTTGGAGAGGAATTATACACAGTCTATAAAGCTTCACATTTCAAAACCTAATTTTGAATGTTATTCAAGAGGTTAATTTAAGATTCATCTTCCTAAAGAGGAGTTAAATAAAACTGATAGAAGGCTGGAACTTGTCGAGTGGTTGAGAGGTTTATCAGCATGTGAGTATGAGTTCATTAGTTTTAATTAGTATAATCACTAATGTTGCATTAACAGTTTGGTGAGAGAAAGTAATTGCTCACACCCACTGTATTAGATTGGGAGATTAAAATTCATTTTATGAGGCAATTAGCATTTCAGGGATTTTTTTAAAAGGCTTTTATGATCTGCCATTGCAGTAGCCTCCTTCACCAAAAAGAGTTTAAATTAACCATAACTTTCATCCTAATGGGATGCAAAAATTAATGTAGAATTAAGTGTGAACCAGCTATCCCACTGCGATAAGCAAGCAGCTAAAGCCACAAACCTCGATTAGTTTATAATGACCTATTTTATTTCCCAGACAATGATAGTCATTTATCTGTCCTCAATTCATTATCTTCTTGGAAAGTTTGTATTCTTGAATTTTATACAGCAAAACAAATAAAATACGAGGAAGGGAAAAGTAGAACAGAACTATTGAAATAATTCTCCAAAGAAGAAGCTTCAAGGTTCAATAATAGGGCTTAAATAGTCAATTATTCTTCATATTAAATGTTAGAGGAAGAAGAAACAGCTCCCTTTGACACCCAGTGCCTTGGGAAGAACTATGAATTTCAGAGCAGCAGCAATCACAACCCTGCTCTGCTGGTCACATCCCTTGGCAGCTACTGACAAAATGAGAATGGCGATCCAGGACTTTGTCATCTGGTTGGCAAGGAAGCTCTGGTCGTCTGAGGGTTGGGAGAGGTGACCCAAGAGATTGCCTTCCAAAACATCCTGGAAAGCAAAAGTTCAACTTCCGGTGGGAAAAAACTGCTTGCGGTAACAACACTTACTCTCATATCAAGGCTGTAATGAAAGACATCATGGTATCCATAGAGAGATGAGACAATGCACCATTTGCAACATATCTGGCATCTATTATCCTGGAGCCCTCAGCATAGGAAAGACGTGGACATGTTGGAGCAGGTCCAGAGGAGAGCCACAAAAATGATTGGGGGTCTGAAACACCTCTCCTATGAGGACAGGCTGAGAGTGTTGGGGTTGTTCAGCCTGGAGAAGAGAAGGCTCCAGGGAGACTTTATTGCAGCTTTTCAGTACTTAAAGGGGGCCTGCAGAAAGTTGGCAACAGACATTTTAGCACGGCCTGTTGTGATAGGACAAGGGGTAATGGTTTTAAACTAAAAGAGGGAAGATTCAGACGAGATAGAGGGAAGATATTTTTTACAATGAGGGTGGTGGAACACTGGAACAGGTTGCCCTGAGAGGTGGCAGGTGCCCCATCCCTGGAAACATTCAAGGTCAGGTTGGACGGGGCTCTGAGCAACCTAATCTGGTTGAATATGTCCCTGCTCATTGCAGGGGGGCTGGACTAAATGACCTTTGAAGGTCCCTTCCAACCCAAGCTATTCTGTGATTCTATGATTATGCTTGTCCCTGGTTACAACAAATCTCTGCTCAAAAATAGTTGAATAAAGCCCACATCTGCTATGACTTAGATGTGGCATGGACGAGAAGAACTGTTAGATGTTAGAAGCGTACTGTTGTTCCTGCAATTTTGGGTACATACATATGTTTTAAAAAAGCAGATATGGGCCAGTATCTGGGGAATTACATCAACCTTCCTAAAACCTATGTTAAAGCAAGATGTACATATGTATATATGTACACACACGTACTTCTAATTCTTACACTCCTTACAAACCCCTCCAAAGGAATTCAGAGGGAGGCATTGTCGTCCTACGTTTAATCACCTAAAATGTAGGTACAACTAGACAGATTGTATCTGTCACAGACAGACTGCCTTAGTCACTCTGGCAGCGGTTGGTACCACCTTTAGGAGGTGAATTACTCCAGCTAGGATCTGAATCCACCACTGGGAAAGGGTGCCTTCCTCTATTGACTCCAGAGGCAGTCCAAGGTAACCAGGTTTCTGTCTCGGGTGGCTGAAGTAAATGCTTAAAATTGGGTCGGATGAATCATGACCGGCATGCCTGTGCCTTAGGGTTTGTCTACTCACAGAGTTATTGCAGAGAGCCATTAGTCTTCCTGAATAGCATTACGTGTGGATACACTTTTGGTTGAATAAGACTCACTCATTTCTCTTCAACAACATCCGCTTGACAGAGGCAGAGTGGTTTGCTGCCTAGTCCTCACATGGAATCCTTCTGCAAGAGCTGCTGCCTTTTCAGCTAGCTGCCTTACCTTAATCCAAATTTACTTGTATATATATTTTAGCATAAAAATGCCCTAAATTTGCCACCCGTCCACCTTTGAGAGCCATTTAAGATTTATGGAGGTGAATACATCAATTAAGCACAAATACATTGACAAAAAAAAAGAAATGAAGGCATCATATACAATAAAAACTGACTTTTATTTCACAAATTATGGGTGTTATAAAGCATATTGTTTCAGGAGAAATGCCTGTATTTGCCAGTGTGTTTCATTAAAGAATAATAAAGCCATACATATTTCATCTCTTTGTTCTGAGCTGCAAGAGCCTTAACTATATAAAATGCCCCATGCTGTCCTTGCTTTGTTGAGCTTTTTTCTTTTTAATCAGATTTTTCCCCCAAAACTAATGAAATCTCTCTTTAAACACATATATCACTTTCATTTGAGGTGACTTATCATGGTTTAAGTGTTTTCTCTCTTCTCCTGTAGAAAAGGCAACTGCCAGCACCTTTTGCTGTGCAGATCCAGGCTTGGATTGCCCCTGATCTCAGCCTGGTTTCAGCAGTGCTGAGTTCCTGGCATTCCCACCGATGCTATTTTGGGTGGGGTATTAGTTGACTGTTGTCTGCAGGGTCTACACCTTGTGTGTCTGCACCAGTTCCTTGTCCACCTGCTATCATGTTGTAATTTCTCTCTTCTAGTATGCACCAACACGCTGTGCAGCTGTGCAGACATCCACAGAGCAAGGTGTCCTTCCTCCCTGCCATCACCACGAAGCAGTACACGACCCCCAGCTGGTTCCCTGCACGTGCCCACTCTTCTCCTGCCCATGGGAAGGGCACCTGGAGGTTGTGGTGTCCCACCTGAGGCAGACCCACCGCATCAACATCCTTCAGGGGGCAGAGATTGTCTTCCTGGCCACGGACATGCACCTGCCTGCACCCACAGACTGGATCATCATGCACTCTTGCCTTGGCCACCAGTTTTTACTGGTCCTCAGGAAGCAGGAGAAGTATGAAGGCCATCCCCAGTTCTTCGCTACGATGATGCTTATCGGTACGCCAACCCAAGCCGACAACTTCACCTACCGGCTTGAGCTCAACAGGAACCAGAGGCGCCTTAAGTGGGAGGCGACCCCCAGGTCGGTCCTGGAGTGTGTTGACTCTGTCATTTCTGATGGGGATTGCCTTGTGCTGAACACTTCCCTGGCTCAGCTCTTTTCTGACAACGGAAGTCTAGCGATAGGAATTGCAATAACCACCAGCAAAGTTCACAACACCGAAGATGAAATGTGAGGGGGAGGAAGAAGAAGAGGAGGAGGAGGAGAAACAATGGTGCTCTAGCTGCCTTGTGAGAGCCAGAACTTGCGGACTTTTCGGGGGGGTCTCAGGTCTTTTATGGTATTTAGTACTCATCCACAGTGGGCATTATGTAAACATTCTGTGGTTACGGTCTCTGTGTAATGTATTTACCATTTTGTTAATACAATTTTATGAGAAATTTTAAAGAGGCTAATCAATTTATTGTCGCCTTCCAGTAACACTGGAAACAACAGCTTTCTCCTGGAAACACAGCCCAGGGTGACTCATTGAAACCTCTGGTCTAAGCATGCTATGCAAATGTCTTTCCCTCATTGTCTGCCTAATTGCCTGGTATTAAGGAGGCCTCTGTGCCTGGTAAAAGGTAAAGTATTCCAATAAGGGACAAGAGCATCCAGGTTTCCATATTAGCAATAGTGATTTAATTCATACACTGTGGTCATGACCAAGCCCCGGAGAGCTCGCAGTTTCAGAGCTCCCTTCAGCTTCTGAGGAAGCTTCTGCTTCACGACCCAGACAATGAAAGCTTCAGAAGAAAAAGTCACCACCTCCACTGGGCCTGGGCCTGGGAAGCCTCTCCTTGAATTAATCAGGGATGACAGATAGTCAGTGGTCACTGTGAGCATGGGTAAATCTCACTCTTGTATCATGCTGGGCAGTGAGAGGCTTGCTAGATGGTCTGCCTCCAGGACAGATATAACCATAGCCAGATATAACCTTTTTAGCTGCTATTTCCTTAAGAATTCAAAAAGAGATTTTCAGAAAATAAAGTATCAGGACAGTCCTAAGTTGTGAACTGATCTTACTGTTGAATTCTTTGCCCCTTAGACTCACAATGTGTGCTGCTAAGTACTGATTTAAAAAAATGCAGCTGGAATATCAATTTGCAAGTTGGCTATGCGATTTGATTTGAAATGCTATCCTTTAAAAATAACCTTTTTTTTTTTTTCTTCCATACACTTGTGGGGTGGTGATGGTCCCTTTCTTCTGCTGAAGGTGTTTCACAGATGGCGATGTTCACAAGGAGGCACAGGCTTCTCTAACGGCTTCTCTAAGAACTTCTCCCTTGGATGGCTCCTTGGAGATAGTCACGGGCAGGTGCTTGGCCACCTCCTGACACTCAGTCCCATCTGCAGTTAGGCATGTTTCCTCCATAGCCAATAGCAGTGGTGAAATCCCACCACAGTAGGTGACGTGTTGAAGGAGGGGAGCTCTCCAGTGAGTGTGACACACGAGAAGGATGGGAAATTGTCTTTTCCTGTTTTCCCTTCTGCCGTGTGTGGCTGTGGTCTGGCTGCTCCTGAATGCTTTATTGGGAAACATCTGGTGGGTTTGGCCAGTTAGTAGTTAGTAGGCTCATTGCTTCAGTCCCTTGGAAACCCAAGGAAGAGGGGGAAGCAAGTTAAGAATGTAAGAAGTTAAGAACGAGCAAGCATTTCAAAAGTCATCTTGCTGTAGCTAGCTTTGGGTAGGCAAAAAAAAAAAAGATGCTAATCTCTCCCACTGGCTGCTCTCCTGGGAATTATTATAAATGACACATGAAGTAAAACGAAATGCAATTTTCCTGAGATGAATGCTGCACAGTTAATGCGTTCTGAGTTGCAGATGCACCTCACCTCCTTACCTGGGCTTTCATAGCAGGTCACTGCTCAGTAAGGGATAGGGTCTCTTCAACAGGCTGCTTATGACTACTCAAGCTGAGGTCTGAAGAAGAAACCTCAGTCCCTGTAACAGTGTGCTGGGGCATACTTTCAGAGCTCTGCCACCTCCCAGTTTCGGGGTCCAGGGAGGCATGCTGGTTTCCAGTGCTTCACTGGAGCACGCAGGCTTCAGAGCAGCTTGCTTTTTCCCTGCAATGTTAAATATTCAGAACCAGAAACTGCTGCCCTTTCCCTAAATGATAGCAATAAATAAATCATTGACATTTTTGTGGACTGAAACTGGCTTCTCCAGCTCCTCCGACAAATATTCTGCTGCTGAATTAAAACAAAGCAAAAGCAATAAAACCCCAATAAAAGCAGTTCCTCAGCTTAAATTTCCAGAGCAATTTGTACACCATGGTAGAGACCTAATGTAATACTGGTTTTGTTGCCTGCTCACAACCAGTTCAAGGGCGATAGAGATTCCTCAAGTATTCATTTATTCCGGTCTATTTACTTCTTGCTACTTGTCACCTTTTGTTCTTGAAATATCTACTGAAATGAAGAATGCTCTGTTGGCATTTTTGGGCGTGCCCCTTGCCAAAGGACCAGTGCATTTCTGGCAGGATGAGTGTGACAGCAACAATTCTCTAGGATGGGCATCTCCATCCCTTTCCAGCGTCTTGCTTATTTGGTTTCAATGGGGCAAGAAGCACAGAGGAAATGTGACCTCCCTGACATGGACCTCCTCACATGTCATGTGTCCTTCTCTCAGAGCTTTCTCGTGACCACACCAACAGTTCAGCCTTTCCATTTCCTTCCCAGTCCTCATCTGGTGGCCACCCTTCTCAGCCCATTCTCAAGGTCTCAACCTGGGTTTCACCCTTTGACTTGCAGAGCCCATGGAACTTCTTGCCTTCTCCCGCTTTTGCCTCTTGGGTGTTGCTGCTTAAATTGTTTTTGCTGCTCTTTGCAGCCAACCAAGTAACCTCCTTGCTGCAAAGCCCCAGCTCTGGCAGGGATTTCAGAAATCATTGGAAAGTCTGCGCAGTGAGAATCCCAGTACAGAAAAGGAGGACACATTTTGGGGAGAAAGGAGATAAGGGTGCCCAAATCCAGCCTTCATAATCACCTCAACATAAAGCTCAAATGTTTAAGGGTATATTTACGGGTTTTATACCATGGAAGACATTCTAATTATGTCATAATTCAAAGCCTATGAGCAACCCTTCACTGCCATAAAACAGAGGTGAAGCAAATATTCTGCATGGTGGGACATAAATCCCAAAATGTTGGCAAGTAGGATCAACAATGAAATTCAGTTTACATGCATTCTTTCAGAGCCCATAATATAGCACTTTTTACAGCTCTTTACTCATGATTGAAAGGCAACTGTAGCTTGGCTTCCCAAACTTAGTCTGAAGTTGGGGCTTCTAGAATTCATTTCGTACTCCAATATTTTGCATCTTTATAGTGTATTATACCCAGTCATTCCAAATTCCTTCAAAAATATGAGTAACACAGCTTTACATCTCTTTGAAGTAAGGAAGTACCCTTCACTTGGTGCAGGAGACAATGAGGTCTTGCAAAATTGCTATGCATGTCTTGTAAAATTCTGTTTTCCTGCCTACCTGAAAGCAGTGTTCCCTCTTTATTTTGTTTTATTTCTTTTACATAGACAAAATGGTGGGGGTTTTCAGAGTTTTTATATATCTGTGTTCATGGATGGGTTTTCTTGCACCTAGATTAGTAAATAGCAACAATAATTTCATCAGACTGAGCCAGATGGATTGTTACCAGACCCACTAGAAAACCTACTTTGGTTCTTCTGCACTATCCATCAGGCACGGTGTGAATGTTAATGTCAGATCTGCAGTAAAACAGCATTAGTGCTTTCAGCTCAATCCCATTATGAATTAAGCTCACATCATATATCCATGACTCTTTATAAATCAGCTGAAGCATCCCGATTCTCATCATCTTGAAGATGACAAAGGATCTTGCTGTGCCAGTGCCAGTCAGAGGGCTTGCTGAGAAATAGGGCAGTAGTCCTCTTCCCACCGCGCTCTGATATCACATCCTCCGTTTCATACCATCCTTTATGAGTACAGGCCAGTAAGATTCTGAAGAAAGGAGGGATGGTAAATTCTGGACAAGGAAAAGGTTATAACAAAATGAGTGGTTTGAAATAAATTGCTGGATGCTGCTGCCTGGCTTTCTCTTTTGGGCATCAGAGGAATGAAACCAAATTGACATTACTGTAGTATAGATGATTTATCTGCTTTTCCAGCCCATAACACACCTGAAAAATACTTTAATCAGAGAAGAGTCCATCAGAACAGACTCAGAGATGCACTTCTGCTCCAAATTGATCAGAAACACCTCACATGGAAGAGCTCTAGCTTTGAAACAGTTCAGACACAAGCATAAGTTTTTAATCCTTTCTTTTTTTTTTTAATCCAATTAACTCTGCATGCTCACACCGTCTGAGTGAAGGGCAGAAAACAAAGATTGCCACATGTATCATCACCAGAACTATTCACACAGAAAAGATGATTTATCTTCTGGAGAGATGACCCTGCAGAAAACGTGGAGGTTTCACAGCAGGGTAGCACAGGGCAGCAGCACCTGCAAGCTCCAGAGGCGTACACGTACAACTGAGGGCAGAGCTCAACCTTCGGACAGAAACATTACTCAACAGAAACCACTCAGTGCAAGGTCACGGCGGGAGCTGTCAGGAAAATGGTTGGACCTCCTAAGAGTAGGAAACCAGCGGGGAGCTGAGGCTCTGTGCAGAAACATGTCTCTTCACATCAGCATCTTCCACCCAGCAAAAAGGTCTCTCATCTGCTGGGAGCCTTGCTTTGGGAGCAGTGCAGATGAAAAGGTCCGCCTTTGGTACTGTGGGTCTGCCTGCGGATGGCCCTGATGCTGCCTAGTGAGTGCAGACACCCAGCCCCAATCCTGCCCCACAGCTCCCCTGGTTTTGGTGGGTACCCAGCTACCTGCAGCTGCTAGCTGTTCCTCCAGATCCTGGCACCTGAGAGTTTTGTTGTCTTTCGTCTGTATAGCTCCCACCAAAGTAGGAAAGGATTTGCTGAAAACCACCCAAAAGATCTTTGGCAGAATATCAAATTAAACCTATACCTCATACCCTTGGTTGGGACTATGATCACTCATTCTGTCTCTCTCCACAAAGGCAATAGACTAATGCATAGCTTTTTTATCTCCCATTGGGCTCTGCCTCTCCAGACGATGCATGTGAAGGATTAGCAGTCAGTGATCATCTTCAAGAGAAGGATGAGGACTAACAATCATTGCAAAGGTGGCTTTTCTTGCAGTACTTTCACAAAGGGATGCCAGGCTCCAAAAAAGAGCCTAACAAACCTTAGTGGGAGGCAATTGGATACACCAATTGC